GAACTCAGGGTGCGGCGGCCTCTGACCCCCCGCCTCCCCCCACCCAGCCTCGTGGGCAGGGGAATTCTGGGGGTGAAATTCCACCCATCTTAAGGTTCCTGAGCTTGAGAAACACTGCTCTAGAGGGTAAGACTTGAATGAATGGGATGAAACTTCAAGGATGTAGATACAGATTAGGCACTAGGAAGACCTTCTTGATGGCAAGAGCTGTCAATCAGTGGAATAAGTTCCTTCATGGAGTGGTTCCTTCCCCTTCCTTGGAGTTTTTCAAACAGAGGCTGGATCGTCATCTGTTGGGGACGGTGTAGTAAATCCTGCAATGTGCAGGGAGTTGGGCTTGAGGACCTCTGAGGTCCCTTCCAACTCTATGATTCCAGATATCATTTTTGAAAAGATCCAGGTCAAGGGAGGAAACAACGCAGAGCACACCTTCCCCAGCAATTAACATCCAGGTAAGCAGGAAACTGCATCAGATAAAAAAGCCGGTAAGAAACCCCACCCCACCCCAGACTGGTGGGGCAAGCTCCTATCAATAAAGAACTTATATTATATTATAATATCTATAAAGAGTTCATGATATATAAACCACCAGCAGACTTCAGGCCTCCTTGCACTCATGAAGTTACCTAGCCTGGTAGCAAAACATCTTCAGGAAAGCCACCAAGTCTAGAGAACCCCAAGAACCCACCATATTCTTGGAAATATATCTGACTCAGTGGCTCAAGGTCACGTTCTGATTTTCCTTGGATTTTTCAGCTCAACAGATTTCTGGTTCTTGCACAAATATTCTGACTTCATTTGCATGTTCTCTTAGCTGACCAGCACCCTTAGCGGCCCCAGTCCAACAGTCTGGTTTGGGATTTCAAGGTCCTATAGATACACTAGTTCTCTCTTGATTTTTGATGAGAGACATTTCTTACTACTGATTTTCTACCGGAATTATTTTCTGTTGATCTTTGATCTTCTTCCTCCTTCTTCTAGGTCTTTGAAGATGGTGTCACCTTGACCAAAGCAGTGGTTTCTTCTACCGTCAACGCAGCTAGTGGGGCCAAAGGCATCATGACCCAGAGAGTGGCTGAAGCTGTTGACCTTACCAAGGACATTGTCCAGGACAGCATTGCCTTGACCAAGTTGGTGGTGAATTCCACTGTCAACACAGCTCTGAACGCCGCCAATGAAGCCAAAGAGCTCGTGACCCACCGGGTGGCTGACGTGGTCAACCTGAGCAAAGAAACTGTCCAAGACAGCATTGACCTTACTAGATCGATGGTGTCTTCCACAGTTAACACTGCCCATCAAGTGCAGAGCTCTGGGCCTCTCCAGGAGGGTGTGGAGATGGCAAGTTTCTTCAGGCAGGCCTTAGCCAGTGGAGTGGGTGCCATGTTGGATAAGACTGAGGAGATGGTGGATTACTACCTTCCTGTGCCAGAAGAAGAACTGGGTAAGCGAAGATCCACGGCTGGAGAACCAGCTCAAATTTGCTTGAGAAAGACTTCTTTGATTATCCCATAACTGTCAACCTGGCATCTTCCAGATGTGCCTCTCAGATCTCATAATTCTCAGCCAACATATTGAGGCCCAACACATCTGCACGAGGGAGCCAGTCTCCTGGTTACATTGATCACTGCATGTCGTTTATCATTCTCGGCTGCTACGGGGTTTTTGTTTTCATTTTTTTAAATTTTTTTTAATGTTGCGGCTGCCCAGAGTCCTTTATCTGAGAGGGGCAGCTATATAAATCCATGCAGTCAACCAATCAATCAATAAGACCCCAGATCAGGGGAGCCCGATCAGCTTCCAAAGTCAGTTGTCCAAAAGCCCTTCATGAGAGGGGCACAACAGGACCCACCGACCGTGTAAAATACCAGAACGCAAATGAAAAAAAAATAGATGAATAGGGAGTCGGTATTTTTAAACCCAACCCCAGGCTGATCCTTTCTGGGAGGGGAGACCCTCTTCACACCCCGTTTGTTCTTCCTGCAGCCCAGCTGGCCATGGAGGTGCAGGGCTTCACCTCAGCTTCGATGGAGGAGCAGCAGAAAGAGCAGAGTTACTTCGTCCGCCTGGGGTCCCTGTCCAGCAAGGTCCGTTCTCGTGCCTACCAACATTCCCTGAAGAGGCTTCATCTCATCCAGGAAAACACGCAGAACATGCTCTCTCAGCTCCAGCTGGTGATTAACCTGGTAAGCCTACCCTGGGTTCAGAAAAACAGCCTTAAGTTCCACACGTTGTGGCTTCTCTGATCTGTTTTGGTCCCTCCCCATCCATCATCCTGGAGCTGATCTTCAGCTGCAAAGCAGCCACGGTAAAGACTCCCCATAAGCTGAGTTTTAGGATTTCAGGAAGGGCATGTGGAAGAGCTCGCCCATTCTGGGAAGTTTGTTCCACTCCTTAGGAATCAGCCCTGCAAGGTAGACCAGACTAAGAAACCGATGCTGTGTAGGTCAAGAGTCCTTTTGCTGTAAAGCTATAATAACTGAATCTTGCATGTCTGAGGGTGCTTCCCTGCCTACCTCCCTTTATTTTCGTGTGAACTAGGGTGATGTTTACTCACATTACTTTCTTGACCCGGCTCAAGCCGCTCTTATCTGACCATTGGTTTGGTAGCAGCTCTTCCTTCTGCCCTTCAAGGCCATTCCTCCTGTCCTCTACATAAGGGCACCTTTTGGACCCAGGATTACCCATCTCAAGACTGACCAGGTGGACCTTGCTGAATTTTTTGCAAGAGCCGAGATTGATTAGGTGTTGCCCCCTGCCCCCCAAGCCACAATCTGCATTTCTTTGGGCAAATTCCTTCTCATCTTCAGCCTACACCCACCATCCTGAAACTGATTGCAGAAAGCAAAGACAGAAGCAATGGGTGAGAAATTGAATGTTGCTCTATCGACCATTGTTTTCCTGAACTGTTTGGATTTCTGCTCCGTTGGCAGGTGGAACACCTGAAAGACAGTGCGGGGAGTCAGTTCCAGGAGGCACAGCAAAAACTGAACCAAATTTTGCTCCGATGGACCCAGAGGCAGCCAGAAGAGGATCAGGATGCAAGAGAAGACTCCCCGCAAGAGGTATTCTTTGCCTCTGGGTAACATAGACTCCTCGAGTTAGAAATTACCCCAGGGGTCATCTAGTCCAACCTCTGCAGAGAAACTTCTAGCGATGAAACATGAAAGTTATCATAAACCACAAGTGGGTTCACGCATCACACTAAGCCGATCTCAGTTTGGTTTGGGCTAAGTGTTTTATGTAAATCAGCCATTCTGGCTCGTAAAACATGGTTAAAGTCAGGTGGTGCAACCCTAGTCACTTGGGGTTTGTTCCATAAAACCTAACTGAGCAAAATGTAGGAAGACTGTCCGTTTTCAAAAGGTTTTATGAGGAGGGTGGGAATCATTTTGATGGTATTACAGCAATGGAAGTCAGACCAAAACTTCATTTTATGCCAAGCAGATCTTTAAGGCTGTAGAACATAGTTCACAGGCAAAAGGATGGAGTTAGGTTCTAACACCATTCCTGAGTGGTGTAAGAACTCTTTACATGCTCAGAAACAAGTATCTTTCCATATGTTCAGTATCTAAATTAACAACCCTTAAACTCACAATATTTGGGGAGGGGCAAACTAATTCTAATAATATTGGAAAACTATGAAGTTCAGCATGGAAGTTCTGATATTTTTATGGTTTTCTCTTTTTTCCAAAGTCAGAACAGGAATATTAATTGTCCCCCCCCCCCCCCCCCCCCACCCTCCAAATCCCCTCCAGGTTTCACAAATTCCAAATAAACCAGCAATATTTTCATTCAGCCGATAGGATCGATGCTGGGGAGCTCCATTAAGGAAGGCCTCAGCACAGAATATGCATATTTTGTATATATCATTACATTTATATAGCCACGCATCTCACATAGGTGACTCTAGGCCAGTGTTTCTCAACTTTGGCAGCTCGAAGATGTGTGGACTTCAACTCCCAGAATTCCCCAGCCAGCAAAGTTGGCTGGGGAATTCTGGGAGTTGAAGTCCACACATCTTGAAGTGGCCAAGTTTGGAAAACACTGGCTTGTGCAGGTCACACCCACAGTTTGGAAAGCTGGGTTCATGTGTCACACTCAGTCCTGTTGTGGTGAGGGCCCTTGCGCAATGCCCATGTGGAAATTCTTCCTCTGCAGGTGGAGTTGGCTACTTTGGCAATGTTAAGAGCCATCACCCAAGACCTGGGCCCTGCTTACACCCGGCTCATATCCAGCGTCGAAGCGCTCCCCAGTAGCCTCCGTGAACGGGTGGACCAAGCTCGGGGGAACCTCTACCAACTCCACAGCTCCTTCTCTTCTGCTGGCTCCTTCAAGGATTTGCCCTCCGGCCTCCTGACCCAGAGCCGGGACAAAATCTCCCAAGCCCGGGAGGTCCTCGACATGTTGGCGGACTACCTCGTCCAAATGACACCTCTGAATTGGATCGTGGGGCCCTTCCGACCCCAGGCGGCTGCCCAGGGGGGAACGGGAAGCCCCCAGGAGGAGAGCAAGATGGGGGAGCCGAGGAAGATGGGCAAAGACATCACAATATCCCCACCAGTGAGGGTGTCAGCCAAGAGGGTGAAAAGGATGGAGAAGGCAGCAGAAGTGGACCGAAAAGAGACCACAGAGCCAATCGAGGCCTTGAAGGAGCTGTTAGCGGGGTCTGATGGGGCCCCCAAATAGAAGAAATAGGAGACAAGGGAGGCACAGGCCGTGCCAGTGGTCTAAATTAAGTCTCCAGGGATGTCCGCAGGGTGTGGTCAAAAGTGTCCAGGTGGTGGCCACAATGGAGCTTCGATTGCACCATAGTGACCACCATCTTGACTTTTTTGACCCCACCCTGCAGACGCTCTGAAAGTCCTGGCAAGTTGACATAAAAGTTTCCCCAACTATAACCTTCCCCCAGCCAGTGATGCTGGAGACCTTCTCCCAAAAAACAGAAGAAGAAAAGACGATTTCCCGCCGGGGAAATCCAGTCTCTGCAAAAAGAGAAACAGATTCCAGGAGGCTAAAAGCTTGCTGAGCGGGAGATCTGCTCTGATCCATCCTTCTCCCCAAACCGACCCAGATCTTCTTTCCAAGAGGTGTGGGGACCCATTTATTAATTTCCAAAGGAGCCTTTCTTAGAGTCCTGCTTTAATTCAGAACCGCAACAAAAATAGGGGTCAGGAATCAAAGCTGGGGGAAGAGCTGGTCAGGATCTATGTCCCTAGATGGACTGGCTGGTATTTACTTTGCACGTATGTCAGAGAAACAATTGCCTTTCTTTTCCCGTTTCTCTTGAGCGCAGCACGTTGCTATGATCTAACTGAGCATCGCACCCAATTTCAAGGAAGGAACTGGCGTCTCAGCAAGGAATTATATTTCCTCCCACAGCCAAGCGTCTAGTCCTCATTGGTACAGAGATCACCTTGAAAATAGGCATAGGGGTGGGTGGGTGCGTCAAAAGCTTAATGGCAAAGATGGACTTAAAGATGATATTTGAAGGTGGGAGGAAGAAGCGGTGGCATGATTTAACTCTCAGGGGAAATTCAGAATGAGTCAAGCTGAATTTCCACGCAGCAAAGCTTTGAGCACTTCCTATGGCTCCTTCTTTCGTGCCCATTCTGTAGGAAAATAAATTTTTAAAAAGTGTATGGCTCCTTCCATCATCCTTTGCGGTAGAAGAGGTGGGTGGGTTTGGAGGGTGTATAAAGACAGGCTTCCCAAATCTGGTGCCGGTGAGATGGGTGGACCAATTCAGAGTGTGACAGTTGCCAAGGGAGCGTGGACTGGGGGCATTGAGGCCCATCTGACAGCACCAGATTGGGGCAGGGTCTATTAAAGGTCAAACCATTTGATTGATCGATTGATTGATTGATTATGTGCCCTCAAGTGGGTGTTGACTCTTAGCAACATCATAGATGCCCCCATCGCCCCTGTAACTGAGTCCATCCCCTTGCTGCTGGTCATCCTCTTCTTCTCTTTCCTTTTCAGCTTTCTCAAGGAAGCTGAGTCTTCATGTAATATGTCCAAACTATAATAATTTGAGCCTGGTCATTTGTGCTGCTTCATGTCAACCCTTCAAGATAGATCAGACTAGGAAACTAATGCCGTGTAAGTCAGGACTACTTTACTGAGAAGCTTTAGCAACAGAATCTTGCAAGTCTGAAGGTGCTTACTTTATTTTCATATAAACTAGGGAGAGGCTTGTCTGGGATGTTTCTTCATGTTACATTCTTGGCCTGGGCTCAAGCCTTTCTTATCTGACCTTTGCCCTGGTAGCGGCTCTTCCTCCTGTCTTTCAAGGCCATTCCCCGTGTCCTCTACACTTTGAGTGAGAACTCTAGATCTGCCTGATGATCCATTAGTTTGTTTTGGGGGGGGGGCTGGCCACGGTCTTCTCAGAAGTCTTCTCCGACAACAACATTCAAAAGCATCAACACTTCCCATCCTGTTTCTTCAAAGTCCACCTTCACTTCCACAGAGGGTCACAGAGAAAACCATTTTCTACACCAGTGTTTCTCAACCTTGGCCGCTTGAAGATGTGTGGACTTCAGCTCCCAGAATTCCCCAGCCAGCATGTAATCTGTGTGATTTAGTTGTTTAATGTTTTTGGATGATTTACAAGGATTTTCTCTCAACCTTGGCCGCTTGAAGATGTGTGGACTTCAGCTCCCAGAATTCCCCAGCCAGCATGTAATCTGTGTGATTTAGTTGTTTAATGTTTTTGGATGATTTACAAGGATTTTCTCTCAACCTTGGCCGCTTGAAGATGTGTGGACTTCAGCTCCCAGAATTCCCCAGCCAGCATGTAATCTGTGTGATTTAGTTGTTTAATGTTTTTGGATGATTTTCAAGGATTTTCTAATTCGTAGTGGCTTGAGAAGACCAGAACTGCAGAGAACAATGTTTCTCACTCTTGACAACTTTAAGATGTGTGAACTTGAAGCCCACACATCTTAAAGTCGTCAAGGTTGAGGAACACTGCTCTTCACGGTTCTGGTCTTCTCAAGCCACTACAAATTAGAAAATCCTTGTAAATCATCCAAAAACATTAAACAACTAAATCGCAAAAGTCTTTGCTAGCCTATCTTCCAGCATACTTCCCTCCCTTGTATGGCTGCAACCACAGGATGGCAGCAACGCTACTCCACCTAAAGGCTGTCCGGAGTTTTGCAGGACAGATACTGAAGTCCTAACTACCCCTTTAGGTAATAGTTTCCTGCAATCCCAGATAAAACAGAGGAATGCAAATTGAGCACAGACCTCCTTCAAAAGCAGAGGTGGTTTCTGGGCCATCCGTTCACATGTGCCCGTGTTGCGAACATTTCATTCTCCTGGACAGCCTGCTTTCAGATTGCAAGGAACACAGTGCACACTTGCATATTTTTAAACCGTCCACTTCCTACAATGGCTCCTACAGAGATCAGGCGCACTTTTACCCACATAACAGCCCTGCCAGGTAGACTAAGCTGAGATTACACGTTTGACCGTTGCAGCGTGGCTGAGCCAAGGTTTCGACCACAATCTCGGTTCAGACACAGAGGCCACGTCAAATCAACAACAAACATGGTCACACAAGTACACCACCTGCCCATTCCAAAAATGTTAGCTTGCATCTTAAGCCTCTAAACCATGCTGGCTGGGGAATTCTGGGAGTTGAAGTCCACCTGTCTTAAAGTTGCCCAGATTGAGAAACACTGCTCTAAACCAGTCAAGACCCACGTAAATTGGGACACACTTAAACAAGAGGTGGGACTTTGATGGCCCTCTCGACTTTTTTGACCCCTCTGTGAAGCCTCCCCCCTACCCAGGGAGCTGGCCCTTCCCCATCACCCCATCCCATCCCATCCCCCCTCTGCAAGGACACTTTGCAGAACTTTGAGATCAGCCTCCTTCTGCAGCACCGCATCTCGCACGCCTCTGATGTCCGCTGGGTCTTGAGGGTGCCCACGCAAGCCGGGTGGGGGGCCCTGTTTGTAGACTTTTCCCCCCAAGCCCCAGCCTAGCCAACGGGTGAGTTTCTGTCATGTCTCCAGAAGGGTGTCCGTGCGTTAAGAGGTCACTTCTGAGCCAAGGCGATTAAAGGAAAGAGAAAGGAAACTTAGGGCTTGTTCTCGCAAGATTGACTTCCTAGTTTTGGCTCTCTTTTTTTCACCCAGGCAGAGAAAGAGGGAGGGCAAAGGGTTCCTCAGTGAGTTAATTTCCGCCTCCCGCTCGCAGTTCCCCGGGCAAGTCGTGGCCGGCGGGGCCAGCCCAGCGCCACCGTCGCCTTGCTGCGAGGCGCAGCGCCTGGTGAGTCTTCCTGGGCGGCACCTTGGCGGAGACCCTCCAGCCTCATTGGGAAATCAGCCGGGGGGCACCCTTCCAAGCGGCGGGGGGG